CCAAACAATAACCTTCCTGTGGGCCGATTATTATTTGCATAAATAAAATATATTTATATGACCAACCTATTTGAAATCAAATTAACCTTTATAAATTTGGCCACTGTGGCGGCTAACAAGTCTATTATAGTTTACTTCCAAATGTGAAAATTGCGACCAACAAACCCATTTAAAAAAAAAATAATTCCATAAAAATACATAATGCACCGAAAAAAGTGCAAAAAATACATCAACAATTCACAAATATTCCAAGGATCAAACAATTAAATTGTTGTGAATTTGACTTACAATTAACTTGTAATAAAATCTGAATAGCAGATATTCACGAAATAAAATAAAAATCTGCTTAAATTGTATACTGAATAAATACCATATATAGGGTATTTGACAATTTTTAAGCAAATATATATAATATTCAAAACAATTCGATTCAAACAATTCGTTGCCAATAAATATAATCAGTGCAACAAATTTACCAATCGAGATAACAATTTGTAATAAACAGTGAAACAATGCAAGCACGAAAATCGAGACAAAAGTATTACGATTACAAAATTATTCACGACAATCAAAAATTGATTTCTAATTCACGAGAATTGCCGTGGGTTGATTTCAATTGTATACAATATATATACAACATGATATATAAGAAAAGACGGAACAACCACGGTTTACACAATAACTCAGATTTAAAAAATTGATCGCAATTGATTGGATCTTATAATTATATAAACTTGTATCTCTATTTAAAGTCATAAGGATCAAACCAAAACTTAATTCCTTCATGATTCAATATGATTATGGCTCTGATACCAATTGTTGGAATTTTTTTTTTAATTCCTCTAAACCTTTTGGTGATAACTATCCCCTACAAGCCAAGCTCCATCATACCAAATCATAAAGAAATAAGAACATAAAGGTGGAGGTATACATGTCTCCATTGCAGCGGAATAACTTTGATCTTGTCTCTTGGGTTTGTAGTCTTCCTGAGTCAAATTACCCTAAAACCGAATTCCTTAGTGTGCCGTCTCTCTCTTGATGGGGAAGAGAAACTAGGGTTGTTCATTTGACGTCTTGGGGACTATAACCCTTTATAGTGTTTTTATCTTTATTGTTGGGCCAATAAGCTCCCATTATACCTAGTTGGCCCAATACCGGTATCCACTCATTCAGCCCATACTCACTTAGGAATCTATTTGGGAATATTTACCTGATCACTTTAATTTATCAAATATATATAAATAGCACAATATAATTATTAATATAATATGTGACCCACAATAATTATTAGAAAATATAATTTCCTAACATTTGGAACTCAGTGTCGTCAGGACCACCATGCTTGTGGTTGACACTATATTGGAGTTTGAAGCATGATTTTGGAACTCAGTGTTGTTGGAACCATCATGTCTGTTGTTGACACTATATGGGAGTTTGAGACATGGTGGTGTTGTTAGGACCACAAGGCCTGTGGTCGACACCATATTTGATTATATGATGGTTTTTTGATAAACCATGGAATTGCTCTGGCTTTAAGGCATTTGAGAGAAATTTGAGGACTGACAGAGAAAATAGCAGTTTGGCTGTTGTTGGATCACATTGACATGCTATTTTCTTGCTACACTCCACACTAATAATGACTAGTCGACAGAGTCAAGTAATATTTGTGACCATGGAAGGTCTTATATCGATAAGGATATAATCACTGCCTGATTCATTGTTATTAATTTGACTTTAGTTGGAAGGAGTCATATTCAGATATCGTACCTTGGATTATGTGTTTTCTTAAAATGTGGCCACATTATAAGAATTAGTCTTTAGCCCGAGAGTCATTTTTAAATAACTTATTTTCCTTTTCTCTTTTAAATTAAAATTTTACAATTGATTTTGCCCAAGTGGGAGAATGTAAGATATTTTTATAATTATTGTGGGCTTCAATCAATTGTAGTTTTTATTGTTTTAATAAGTACGAGCTAAGTCATGATCCATATAGGGATGCAGTATAAAGTCCAGTTAATTTAGTGATCCTTTGATTTGGGCTTAGATATCTATAAACTGATTAGTGTGAGTAATAGTGTAGGCCTAACCCATAGGCCCATGATGGGAAGGGGACTAGGGTTAATAAGTTTGGCTAGGTCCCTTCTGCATTCACAACGTGTTGGACAACCGTCTCTCCACAACTTGACCCATCGATAGTTGTGATTATGGAGTGGTGTGAACTGCAGAGGAAGATCATAGTCTTTCCAATCTTACAGGAGCATCAGAGCAAATAAGAGCAAGAAAACATTCAAGAGATCAAGAATCATGTGAATTATGTCTTCAACAAATAAGCCTAAATCTTTTGGTGTTCTAATATCACATAATCCTATTTTATGAAATTTCTTACATTATAAGATAGGCGCTGCTCCAAATTTTATTTCACTGCTTACTTATATGTCAATCTTAAGTTTAAAATAAGGAAAATACAAGCGTTATGTTACATGAAAAATCTCCACTTTCCTACACACTCAAAATAGCATGGGACCCACTTCAACTTTTTTTGCTTTTTTACTATATAATGGGGCCCACAGTGTTTTTGTGTCTGTAACATGACACAAATGGTGTCATGTTATATGACAAACTATTATCCCTTTTTATACCAAAAAAAAAAAAAAAAACTATTATCCCTTAAAATAAATAACACTGCGACATTAGTTTAATACCATTGCCTTTAGTCCATTCCTGTTTGGAATATTTGAAAGGCATTATTCTTTGAATAGTGAGCTAAACTCATCCTCTCTGTTTTATTCTTAAATTATATAGAAGTAATGTTAAGAAAACAACTCTTGGATTAGTAAATAATAAAGAAATAACTGTACGGGTGGAACTTTGACATAAACATTTTGTGAGGGGGTTGTTAAAATTTTAGGTCATCGCTTTGAAATTTAGATTATTTAAACTTGTATTCGTATTATGTACAAAAATCTAACTCCTCTTTTTTTTTTCTCAAGTAAATAAATCCACCTCGTCTTTCCTTGAAACTAATAAAATTGCAGGACTGTATAAGGTTAAAATAAAGAGGAAAATCATGAGAATAGTTAAACAATAACTAGCCACTCATTATGCATGCAAGCGAGAAAGATTTTTATCATTCAAATTTATGATCTGGTTCAATACTCTAAAAAATTGGAAGTATTTCTATAGTTCAACAGCTAAAAAAGGAATGTATATATGGTACGCATTATACATCTAATTTTTTTTATATCTAATTTAGATATTCAAGAAAATATAGAAATGTTCCCATAAAGGCATTTATTTTTCAAATATATCCTAACAGAACCGTTTGATCACAATACTGATATAACTTTTGGTATTAAATTTAGGGCTTGAAACATGAGAAATATTAAGTACTTAAATTTATTAAACATTACGAGAAATGTTACACTTAAATTTTGGGCCTGAACAATGGTTAAATTTATTTATTTTTCACCAATTACATACTTGATTTTTGATTAAATTATAAAAAGGTAATTGTAGTGGCTGCAACCATGTTATTTGCAAGCTCTTGTATAGTTCATTTTGTTGCTGTACTAGTCTTACTCCCAAGGGCCAAAACCTAAAACTATTAAACAAAGACAATAGAGTTTCACTCACCAAAAAAAAGTTGTTATCTCACACCTAACTAGTTAAATCTAGTCATAAGAAAGCTTTTTCTTATGATGTTGATGTTCTGATCAGTTCGAATAGAATAATTATCTTTCGTGGAGAATATTTCTGATTTATCTATAATTTTTTTTTTCAGGAAATGCATACAGTTTCTTCATGAAGCTTGATTGAGGGGTACATGGGAAAAAGACCCATAACAAAGGCAAGGACAACCCTCAAAGATATTAAAGCTTTACTCGCTATCGTTAGAATTTTTATAATTATTGGGGCTATAATTAATAGTAATTTTTTTATTTAACAAAAATAAACAAATTCATTATCTATATAAGGGTACAAAATTAAATTCGCTTAATTAAGTGATTTTTGTCTTTAGCATTGATTTGTGAGAGAAACAATTGATATGATTTGCATTTAATGACTCTAATTTATTAGTCATATAAATCTTTAAATGCAAGTGAGAACTAGGACTAATAATGAGTATAAGACTTTTGAATAAATTAATCAAGGTTGATTTTATTTGGGATCTCCATAGTCCATAGAATAGTCCCATTATGAATTTTTCTCGCAACTACACGTATATATATATATATGGATATGAATTTTTTTTTTTTTTGGAAACTGATCCTAATTATCTCTTTGAGGCGAATCAGAATCCCTTGGTATCTCCACGGGTTCGACCCTTTGAGTCGCCTATGAGACTAATTCAGAGTTCGGGTGCGAGTCCAAGGATTACGGTACTTATGGCCCTCCCCAGATGGTGTTGGTGGGATTCGAATCGAGGTCCTCTCCCACCACTCAGTCCCCATACTATGAACTGAGCCACCACACTTGGGTTATATGGATATGAATCTTTTAACTAAAGTGTAAAAATAAAAATTTTACTCTCCATGTCAATATATATATATAGGGATATTTTCATTTTGATGTAAAAATAAAAAATTTCACTCTTTATCTCAACAATTGATTTTAATATATTTGATGGCGGTAATTTTATTAAAAATAATAATTATTTAACGGATATAATTAAATAAATTATAACCCTCAATCACTCATTAGGGGAAGTTGCCGTACATGATAATCCATGCAAAGTCAACCGAGCCACTAAATCTATGGTTCATATATGAATTGTGCGACCTTTTCTAGCTTTTAAAGATATTTTCTTAGCTTTTACACACAACAAACGGTGGACATTATCTTTTCATTTTATTTTTTTTAGTCATATATTCCTCATTATTACATGTCATCTTTTCATCCACCTAAAGCTGAGTTTTTTTATGCCACTTATATTTGGGTTTTTAATAAACTGGTATTCCTCGTCATTTTTCATGCCACTTAACAAATGGAGCAATGTTAATTGCATTCCATATTCTCCTAGTTGCTAATTTTCCATATTTTCTCTCTGTCACAAACTATCTTACCCGATAAATTTTCCGATGGCTGCAGCAGATTCCAAGATTCTTATCATTGGAGGCACCGGTCACATTGGAAAGTTCATTGTGGAAGCCAGCGTCAAGGCTGGCCACCCCACTTACCTCCTAGTCAGAGAGTCACCCATTTCCAACCCAGTAAAAGCAACCATGATCGAAAAATTCAAGAGTTTGGGCGTCAACCTAGTTTTGGTACGTTAATCCATATTCTTAGGGAACTTTTAAAAATATATAAAACCATTAATATAATCTCACCACCAATTTAAGTTTTTAGATTGAATTAACTCTTTACATTAATGTTTGGGAATCTATTTAATGGTAGTGTGTGATGATGTTCATCTTATATATATATATACAGGGAGATATAAATGATCATGAGAGTTTGGTTAAGGCAATAAAGCAGGTGGATGTGGTTATCTCTGCTGTGAGTTACATGCACTTACCTGTTCAATTCAAGATCATTTCTGCTATTAAAGAAGCAGGAAACGTTAAGGTACATTCAAAGTTTTTGGTTGTAACTTTCTTCTTTTTCATTTGTTGAAGCGTATAACCCACTTGGTTAATTGGTCCACAATTTCATGACAGTGTCATCCAATCTGAAATAACATATTGCATTAATTACTTTATAATTCGAAGAAAATGTTCTTGTAGCTTCAAGAATTATTCTTTGCGACAGAAAACATATATGTTTTGAGCTTGTTTTGACAACTCTTTGTTTGCAGAGGTTCTTTCCTTCGGAGTTTGGAAATGATGTGGATCGGGCTCATAGAGTGGATAAAGCAACCAATATATTTTATACTAAGGCCCAAATACGTCGAACCATTGAGGCAGAAGGAATTCCTTATACTTATGTGGTGGCCAATTTCTTTATGGGACACTTTCTACCCAATTGGTCAGATCTTAGAACCATAGTTGCCCCATTAGATGTAGCAATTGTCCTTGGGGATGGAAACCCCAAAGGTAAAAATATGGTTTTGTACCAAGATTATAAATTTACATATCACACATCTTCCTAATAAAATTCCATTTATTAACAGCTGTTTTTAACAAGGAAGAGGATGTTGCTACCTATACCATCAAAACAGTTGATGATCCAAGAACCTTGAACAAAAGTCTCTATATTAGACCCCCGGCAAATACCTTGTCATTTAATGACCTAGTATCTCTATGGGACAAGATGATTGGTAAGACTCTTGAAAGAGTCTATATTCCGGAGGAGCAAGTTTTGAAGAAAATTCAAGGTTAGAGAGTGATAATTATTGCAAATATTCAATATGAAGATTTTGTCTTGTTAGTTATTGGTGATGTAATGTCAATGCTCCTTTGATCACTTTCACAAATCAAGTTCATAGGGAATTTGAAATTATGTGCATAGGACTTCAATATATGTGGTTATATGTTGACAGTTGCAAGTTGTTTCCTGTTCTTGCAGAGTCCTCATTTCCCGTTAATATGGCCTTGTCAATTTGTCACGCTGCCTATGTGAAGGGAGATCACACTAACTATGAAATTGAGCCCTCATTTGGTGTAGAAGCTTCGGAGCTCTATCCTGACGTCAAATACATCACTGTGGATGAGTTCATCAAGAAAAATGATGCTTGCACACCATTTTACTTACACCAGTTTATATCAATTAAAGATGGGTTTTGTATCTATAATTTAACATGACCACAACAACTTTCCTACACATACAACATTTTGTGGGACCCACAATTTTTGAAACCAAAAAAAAAAAAAAAACTCTGGCACGCAAAACGAATCTCTATAACATAACACAATCACTTTTCCTACAACATAACTCTTATTAAACCCATTAAAGATATGCAAATTTTTTATTAAAATGTGTATTGTTTGATTAATAAAGTAGTAATCGGTTACTAGATTGTTAAACACAAAATAGTCGTTAAAAATAAAATTATGTAATTAACTAGTATAAAAATGGTATACAAATTCTAAGATTCAAATATCATCAATGTTTGTTCCTTAATTCGTCTAAGATGCAAAATACCTAGTCGGTATATATTTTCAGTATTGTAAAACTTCATTGTCCAAATTAAAAACCATGGAGTATATAGCAGTGTCTTGTGATGTTCTGACCATATATGAATGAAGCTATTGTAATTTTGTTACATTTTTATTTATTGAAGCCTCATGTTTTTCATTTTATTTTCCTCCTTACTTGGAAATTCTAATTGTTATTATTATTATTATTATTATTATTATTATGATTTTGAAGAAAAAAAGGAAGCGATTGTATGGTAGAAACGTTGCCCTCAAATGTAACTTTATAATTTATGCTTGAATTCCAAACAAGTTTAGGTGAAAGAGCATGGATTACATCACCAAGCAAGTTAAGTGTTGCCTTGCTGATAGTTATGAAGAATCACACAAGAGTACGCATCAATATTACACTGAACTAAAACTAAAATTAAGGCCATTGAAACAGAAATTGGTTTTTGTTTGCAAAATAGATTTTCTGAAAATAAAAGACTTGATAAGCAAAATCAGTGATTGATAAAAAAAATAATAATTGAAAAGGACTATTCAAGTTTATAAAACAGAAGTATAACTCAATAAAATTGATTTGATTAAAATGAAAAATATAGGAGCAGAGATAACATTTTCTCCAACACCTCTTGAAATTAGAATGCAAATAAAACTAAGTTGACAAATCAACAGTTCAGTTCAACCAGAGAATATATAGCTATTGTTTTTCAACAATTAGCTTTTTAATCCCAATTTACAGTTCGCATGTCTATGAAAACTCTTTTAAGTTTGAGAACATGAAAATACCGTCGCATTGGTTGTATGGTGATGAACTTCATCCCTGAAGCTTCATCCATTGAATAATTTCTTATTCAGTGTCCACATGCTCAAAGTCAGTTCCAGTGTTCGCTATTTTTCAATAGATCACATTTAAAATCATTTGAATGCTTCTGGCCATAAAACACCCAAACATGCTTTAAATTCAATTTATGAACAAACTAGTTTTTCAATAAAATTCAAAATGCATTCCTATAACAAGAGTTGGATACTCAGTCTTGTCCACTCCTTCACAATATTTAGCGCATATGAGTAGGGGTGTAAATGGGTCAGGCTGGCCCAGCCCAGCCTACGGTCCGGTCTACATTGAGCTCCGCCCAGGCCCGATCTTTCAGAAAAGTAGAGTAGGCTTAGGCTTATAAAAAAACTTTTTTAATAAATAGGTCATAAGCCAATTTTGTCAAGCCCGGCCTACAGCTTTGTAGGCTGGCCTATTTAATATATCAAAATAAAATAGTATTTATTTTATGTGGCAAAGACACAAAGTACCAAATACCAATATCTCTTATTTTTTGTGTTATTTTATTTTATGAAAAGAAAACTTATCTAATGTCTCCAAATTTTACATGTTGTTGCAGCTTAATACCATGGAGCAATGGGTACCTTGCTGGATTATGATGTTACTGATGAAGATCTTTCAGTAATACTTTTCTTTCCCTTGTCTTAATGGTGGTTTAAAGATTTTTAGATGAATGACATTCTCTTGTAGACTTTATTTCAGCATCCAGTAATTGTGTTTTTGTTATTTTTCTCATTTCTTTGACTCTATTCCTCTATGATATACATTTTAGAGCTGAGGTATTATGTTGACTCTTTCTTGTTTGTCATTTTTTCTTATGAGAAGTACTAGTGCATGCATGAATGGAACTTTCTTTGCTCTATACAATTATTTTTTTTGCTTAGTATATATAGTGGGAGGCCTACAAGGCTTGTAGGCCATGTCAGGCTTTCTTATTTTTGAAAATGGGTCGGGTTTGGCCTACAAATAAAGCCTTTAATAAGTCAGTAGGCCAGATAGGCTGAATTTTTTTGACGTATGCTTGGGCCAGGATGGCCAAAGCCCAACTCATTTACACCCCTAGTTATGAGCGTACAAAACATCCACGAAAATTAAAATCATACACTTCAACAGGAACTTCAATAATCCAAAGGAAAACTCTCCTAGCAATTAATCCTCGGTTACAAAATTAAAGTAATACTACGACCATTAAAAAAATTGACAACAAGAGAAGAGCAACAAAACTTTATCCAAAAAATATTCAGAGAAAAAAACGAGAGAGCCCACGCCTTTACCCTCTGCATCTTTTATATATCTCCTTCCCCTCTTTGCATGCACAACATTCTTCACTGCTTCTCCACACGATTGCTTGGTTCTTCTTCTTGGACCCTAGGATTTGCTTACACGCGTGTTTCTCCTCCAAAAATCTTGATCTTCCTTCTGATCAGGACCACCAAATCATATGCACCCACAAATGTCTCTGCATACACCAAATCATTACCATTAAATATTTGTGCCACTTAACATCAACATCAATTCCAAAAGATCCCCTAAAAAAAATAGCCATTATTATCTATAAAACTTTGTTCCACAGGTCATTTGAATAAATATTTTTATACTGAAATAAATTAGAAAGAGCAAATCTTTATGAAATTGTCACATCTTAAATGGTTAACAAATAACAATTTATATAAATGAAAGTTAACTCAAAATAGGAAGTAAGGATCAGCATGCAACTAATATAAACAAAAGAAACAATATGAACACCAAATATTTAATATAATCATAGAAGAAAATTTGGGAACATGCTTTACCACAAGTTCTAAATATTTTCTATTTTCTGACTACAAGTGAGAAAACATCTCAAATCATCTTAGTGTGCAACAAAGATAATTTTTACCCAGGTTTAAGTTCATTTCTTGAGATATTTTCATATATATTATTATCCACTCAATTTATTATATTTATCAAAATATCATTTTATATATAATTCTTTTTTCCTTCAAATTTTGGAGGTACGGCCGCCACCCCACCCCTAAATTCGCCTCTGTGCACACACTAACCGCGACACTGCACTCTGAAATGATGAGGGCGATGTTCTTTTCCTTTCTTTATTTTCTTTATTTTTTAAGAGACTGGGCCGATAATGCACCAACCAGGGATTCCTCTTCTTTTTCTATTCTTCTTTCCGTTTCTACCCTCTCTTTCTTACATATTTCCTGTTTTGACCTTGGGTTGTGGATGTTATTTTTGGACTAAGACCTTCGGGGCCATACCAGTTGTCAGTGTGTCTTGGGCCTTACACCCATGCTTTTCAGAATTTGCTTGCACCTTTTGGACTTGAGGCTTTCGGCCTCTATATTTTCTAACGAGAAAGAAATCCATTAGTCATTTTAGCTTAAATTCATTGGAAAAAAAATTAATTTAATGTTTTTTAATAAAATAATTACATATTTATTATAGTTTTAGGAATAATTACAGATATATTGCACAATGTGACGTCCCTTTTGAGCGTCACTCATCAGGAGTTGACACGTGTCATATTTTTTTTTTCAAAAAAAAATTAATTTAATCATAAAACTTCTGAAGGCCATAACTTTTGACTCGGGTATCCAAATCAAGTAATTCTTTTTTTGATTCCATATAAATTTTTGAGATCTACGCAATGACATCTCATTTGATATATTTTATTTCTCACAAATATAATTTAAATTTAAATCAGGTTATCCTTCTCCCTTAGAGATTTAGAATATTTATTTAATTATTTCCTTTATTAATACAAATTTTTCAAATTGATTTTTAAGTTTAAATCACAAATAAAATCTTTATTTTTTTTCCTTATTAATAATAATTGTTACTTTTAATTTAAATCATAAACCAAATTTTTTTATAATAAAAATAATTTTTTTATTTTTTAATTTAAATCACACAACAAATCTTGATTTATTTTTCATATTAAATCACAAACGCAGAACTCAGAGGTTTCTGAGTTTAAAAATATGACACGTGTCAACACCTGACACGTCACCAATCACGTCTAAATTGGGTTTCAATCAAGAGGCAATCACGCCTAATTTAGGTAATTTTATTTTTGAAAAACATTCATAAGTATCATTAATTCCTGACCACGAATAATAACCCATAAACTTATAGCATTAATCATTAATTTCAAAAATAATATCTTTCTTCCTTATAGATTTAGAATATTTATTTAATTATTTTCTTTATTTTTACAGATTTTTCAAATTGATTTTTTAGTTTAAATCACAAATCAAATCTTTATTTTGTTTTCCTTATTAATAATAATTTTTATTTTTATTTTTAATTTAAATCACAAACCATAATAAAAAAATATTATAAAAAAATTTTAAATCACAAATCAAAATTTTATTTATTTTTTATATTAAATCACAAATTCAAAACTCAGAGGCTTCTGGGTTTAACCGCTCTTATAATACCATTCTTGTAAATTAAAATTGTGTTTGTGAGAAATAAAATATGTTAAATGAGATTTCATTGCGTCGATCTCGAAAAGTTATGTGGAATCAAAAAAAGAATTATCTGATTTGGATACCCGAGTCAAAAGTTATGGCCTTCAGAAGTTTTATGATTAAATTAATTTTTTTTTTGGAAAAAAAATATGACACGTGTCAACACCTGATGAGTGACGCTCCATTGAGGCGTCACATGTGACGCCTCAATGAGGCGTCACATGTGACGCCCAAAAGGGGCGTAACATTGTGCAATAGATCCGTAATTAATCCCAAAACTGTAATAAGTGTGTTATTATTTTATTAAAAAGCATTAAATTAATTTTTTTGCTTAAATTAAAGTTTGTTTGGGATAGGTGAAATTGGGTCTCAAACAATTTAAATCATACAAATAAGCTAACCCAAT